ATTGAGTCTTTAAAATATCTTAGGATTTTAATTGAGTTCAATTCCATATATAATTATCAAATACTTGATAGAATTTGCTGAATGTGTATATATATGTATTCGTTGATAAGACAAATTGCTATAAGTCTATAACATAAGGAATTAGTCCTGCACGACAAGTCGACAACAAATTTTTGAGTTATCATATTTCTCTTCTTGTCTTACTAAGTTTCTACAGTTGATTGCAGCCGAAAATAGATTCAGTTGAAATTTTATATTAAGGATCCAATATAAAATTAAATCAAATTTTTAGAGACTAAAATTGTACATTTATTTGACTTAAATCAAATTAATCGAATAATTGATGAATTGGTGGATAATATAAAAATATGTATATATATATATATATATATATATATATATTAACCAAATTGAATCTGGCAGCTTTAGAATAAAATAAATAATAAAATTATATTATTGCTAATTTTTTGAGATGGATTTTTTATTTTTATTTTTTGAGATGGAATTATTTCAAACCCAACCCTGTGTAGCTTTAGAGAGAGAGGGGGGGAAAAAACAGTGAAGACATTATAGATGGGCCATAAAGAACGGGCCCAACATTGATGCAACCTTTTACAAGTCCAATGCCGTTGCTTTGGCTATTTTTTGAATGTAAGGATTGGGTGGGCCATAAAATCAGTCAGGCTTAAATTTTAAAAGTTTTGAAAATTTAATTTTGTTAGACAGCTTTTGACCCAATGGAGCAAATGAATTAATTGAACAAGACCTGCCCACAATTAAAATAAAATGCTAGGAAAATTTCTTAATTAGGACACTTTGAGACGATCAATGGAACAATATATATATATATATATATATATATATATATATATATATATATATATATATGGGAAAAACATTTCTCAAGTTGCTTGAAATAAGTTTATTTCCGGCCACCTCAAAACTACGTCGTTTTGTTTATTTATTTCCTTATATTAATTGATTCACCTTTTGAATGGTTATGATTCTCTTTTTCTCTCTTTTCCTTTATCACCATTGATCTATTTTTGTACGGTTATGATTTAGTAGCCGGATATAACTTTGTCTCAAGCAACTTGAGAAATGATAAGCCATATATATATATATATATATATAGAGGTAAGATCCTTTGACACCGGTGTCAAATTTAAAGTTTGACACCTCATCTGAGAGCCGTTAGATAAAAAAAGATCAACGACTCGGATTTGTAAGCATGTGACATCATTGATCTTTTTTGATCTAACGGCTCTCAGATGAGGTGTCAAGCTTCAAATTTGACACCGGTGTCAAAGGATCCTGCCTCATATATATATATATATATATATATATATATATATATATATATATATATATATATATATATATATATCATACAAGTATATGAACAATAAGTACTCTTTCTCCATTTGAATGCAAAATGTTTGAGAAAAACATGCAATTTTTCATATAACATTACACAGATACATACTTGCATGTCGCTGTTGTTTGATTGGAGTGATCTAGAATTATCCAGAGTTCAAACTTTCATATGGAACTATACCGTTTTTAAATTTTGTGCTCGTATTGTTTAAATTTAGTTCCTTATATAATTTCCTTTCTTGGTTTGCTTGGTTTCTTCATTTAAAACCTGATTTCTTTTTTTTGGAAATTGTTTAAAACCTGATTTCTGCTGCAACTTTCATATAGAATTATCCACAGTTCAAATTTTCATATAAAACCGTCAGAATTGATTTTGAACATTAAAATATTATTTATATGTTTGGTTTGCATTTATTGTGGTGAAATAAAATTGATTTTATTTCTCATCGTCAAGGATGCATGCATTTGTACAAGTTTTTTTTTTTTTTTTTAAAAGATACTTTTATTATATAATTTTTTTTGAATGTTTTTAGAATAAAAGTAATTTTTTTTCTTTTTTACTTTTTAAATTTATTTATTATAATAAATTTTTAATAAAACATACAAACAAATAGGTCATATTTTTTTTATCGATGAAAATTTTAAATTTTTTATTAAATAAAATTGATTCTTGACAATATAAAAAAAACTCGCATAATTTTTAAAATTATATTTGCAATTATTTTTTAGAAATTATTCTACTTTATTATCTAAATCAAATTAACCATTTTAAATACGTTTTGAAAATATTATTTTTAAACACAAACAATTCTTTTGATTTCAATTTTTTTAAAGTAATTTTTCATATCAATTTTTTTTTAAATAATTACATTAAAATACAAAATAAACGAGTTTGGTATATACAAGTTATATATGGTACTATTGATAATCGTGTAGACGTGAACATGGCAGCTGTAAAATTCTTACTCGAGATAGAGAAATGATTTTTTCCTTTCTATTTTTTAGGTACAAATGAATTTTGCATTTGCATTCTATAAACTGATGAAAACAAAGTTAATGACACGCCAACCCCAGACAGAATAAGATTTGACGGTTGACATGCATCCAATATTAATGGCCATTGTAGTGGAGAAATATTATTTATAAGAATACATCATTTTATCTCATCTCATCTCATGTATTATTTAATATGATATAATTATATAGGAGGATTTTAATTATAAAAAAGTGAATCAATGATTATAATTTTATAATTATAATTTTAATATTTCCCCCCTCTTTTCTCTTATCATCACTAATTTATCTTTATAAAATTAAGATTTTTCTCGTATTTTATGATTATGTTAAATAATACATGAGAGAATTTATTTCCATTATTCATAAATTCTTAACTTAGCAGATTTTCTTGCACATTCTCTTTTAAGAAAAAATAAAAATGGACCCATCATTATTCATTCTATTCTCTATTTATCTTGAAAAAAATAAATAAATTAGGAGACATATAAAGGTTTTTGACCGTATAAATGTATTTTTTAAAATATTTTATCAATTTAGTTATTTGACCAAATGTATTATTGGACTAATGCAGGAAGACGCATGTCACGTGACTACGTGTATAGTCGCGCTCCTGACACATGCGTGTTTCATGTGATGACAAAAGTGAGACATGCACATATGTCTACAGCATAATAACAACATATGTCTTAGTACCATGTGCGCGCGTTTCAGTTCGTTCATTCTGATCGCACTAGTCCAATCTGATCACGTCAGTATCAAGTGCGCATTTCATTTCGTCTGTCATGTAATACTTGCATATGTTAGGTACATGACTATATGCATAACTATATGATATATGTCTTCCTGCATTAGTACGATAATACATTTGATTGAAGAATTAAATTGATGAAATATTTGGACAAAAAATCAATTTTTAAGAGTATGAATAACATTTTTTATTATAGTACGTAAAACACTAATTAAAAAAAAAAAAAGACATATGACAACAGAATGCTACTGTCACCGACATTATCCTAGAGTCGGCCTTTTGTACGATTAAATTTAAGGAAAAATTAGTCTGATGTTTTCTTTTTACACACTTAAATGATTTTTGTATAACTTATTTTTTTTTTTATTTTTATAAATGAGTAAACTTTTATCTATGATTATGTCTATATTAAAAGAAAATTATTCTACTATACTATAAGAGTAATATATCACTTAAATTTATTATATAAAGTCAAGAAAGATGTCAGAAAAGTAATAATTAGAGGCCGAAATAGAGGCCAACCTCAAAAATATAAATAAAAATATTAGCATTTGATACAGCTGGTCGCCTGGTTCTATATATTTTTATGCATACTTACAATTTACCCTATCAGCTTAATGTGAGGTGTATGTGGAACATACAACAACATAAGATAAATATTTAGATTTAACTGTTGATATGGCAATTTTTTTTTTACATTAAAAAAAGGGGCAAGTTATTTTATAACATATTACGAATGCAGGGAATTTAGTACCTATTTGTATTCTTTTTTTTTTAATTTATTTTTTCCTTATAAGCATAAGTTGAGTCAAATAGATTTTGAAAAAAATTCTTATACTAAAAGCTTTTTTTTTTATAGTAAAAAAAAAGTAAAAAGCCTAAAATTCCTAAAATGAGCTTTTTTTTAGTTCTTATTAACTTTATTGAATTGTGTATTTTTTAAATAAAGAGCTATAGAAATATATAGAGAGAAATTTTTCTCAAAATATATGCTTTTAAGTAATTTTTATATAATTATCAAATAAATTTTAATTTTTTTTAAGCTCTTTTTTTAGCTGTAGCTTAAAATTAGTTTCTAGCTTAAAAAATATATTTGAATAGGTTCTTAATCAAATTTATTAATGCTAATCTCCTTTCCATCATGAGTTGAGTTATGCTTTACACTATTGTCTATACTAATAATTATTATAGATATTCAAGCACAAATAAAAAGATTACTTAATTAAACGGATTTTATATTACTTCCCATATAAATCATGATTTAATCAATTTTTATTGAAACAAAGAAAATTACAAATATTGATTGCATCCCACCATAATTTAAAAAAAAAATCTTTTCAGGGATGTGTACTTAGGTGCTGTGCACTAAATATTATTTTAAAAAACAAAGAGTGAATTACTTTAACAAAAATTATGGGAACTATTTTAATTCTTTAGAAAAAAAAAATTGATTTATGATCTTTTTAAAATTTAAAATAGACCTAATTAATTAAAATTGTAGTCCTTCTAAAATTTAAAAAAAAAAACTCATATTAATTCCTCAAAAGAGTTAACATGGGTATATTTTAAATTTTAGGAACACCATGAGTTCAGTTTTTTTTTTCTCTAAAATATTAAATTGAACCCCATATTCCAAAAGTTACTTTATTCAAAAACAAGCCTTTGAAATTTAGGACCTAGGTTAATCATTGTAAAAGAGAGAGAGACACGTAAGGTACGATAACTTTTATCATGAAAAGACTCCCAATATTGCTCCTTTTGGGTAAAAGCAATTCGAATGGGATTGGTTCAATTAATTAAATACTATAAGAGAGAGCACCAAATATATTTGGTTTTTGTGTACTGCATGAAAACTTAAATGGCTTCTTACTACTTCCTCTTGTTTGTTCTTGTTGCTGCTACTGCCCTTTCTGAAGCAGATGCCAAAAAGAAGTTATCTGAAGACTTCTACTCGAGCAGCTGCCCGGAACTGTTACCAATAGTAAGTAAAGGGGTCATCAGAGCCATTAAAAATGAAACTCGCATAGGAGCTTCCTTGCTTCGATTGCATTTCCATGACTGCTTTGTAAACGTGAGTATATACATTAATTTGACTTTACTTAAAAACTCTGCTTCACTTAATTTAGCTTCACTTAACACAACGATCAGGGCTGTGATGCATCAATACTGTTGGATGATACGAGCACTTTCACTGGAGAGAAAACAGCTGCAGGTAATAATAATTCAGTAAGAGGATTCAACGTGATTGATGACATTAAAGCCATGGTGGAGAAAGCATGCCCAAAGATTGTGTCCTGTGCTGATATTCTTGCTCTGGCTGCTAGAGACTCTGTTGTTTATGTAATATCACATCTTTAATACTATGACCCTTAAAATGCTTGAATTTAAAATGGGAAAAACATTTGTTTTGATGGAGGTAAGGCTTGTTGGAATTTACAGCTAGGGGGACCTTCGTGGAAAGTAGGCTTTGGAAGAAGGGATTCTACTACAGCTAGCAGAGCTGATGCTAATAATTCCATTCCTGCACCCTTTCTCAATATAAGCGCTCTCAAAACGAATTTCGCTAATCAGGGGCTCTCGGTGAAGGACTTGGTGGCTCTTTCGGGTACTAAATGCTAACTACATTATATGAGATGTGTATTAAATAATCGAAAAACAAAAATGCTTTATCATGAACATTTCTGGCTGTTTCATATTGAAATTGGATGGGAGAAATTATGAGTGTTAATTATTGTCTTGCTCTACCTATTTATTGCCAAAAAATGACCACACCTTTGTTCCAAAGTATTGCTTGGAAGAAGAGTTTCGGCATGCTATGTCTTAGAAATGTTTCAATTCACTCGAGTATCTTTAATAACAGGTGCACATACAATTGGCCTGGTTAGATGCGTACAATTCCGAGCACACATCTACAATGATTCCAACATTGATGCCTCCTTTGCCAAGTCCCTACAGAGCAAGTGCCCCAGAAGTGGAAATGACAATATACTCGCACCCCTTGACCATCAAACTCCGACCCATTTCGATAATCTTTACTTCAAGAATTTGCTGGATAGAAAGGCACTTCTCCATTCCGACCAGGAACTGTTTAATGGAAGTTCTACTGACCATCTGGTGAATAAGTACGCGACTGATACAGCTGCATTCTTTAAAGCCTTTGCCAAGGGCATGGTCAAAATGAGCAGGATCAAGCCTCTGACAGGTACCAAGGGGCAGATCAGAATCAATTGCAGAAAAGTCAATTAAACATTTGCAAGTGACACACATATATATATATATATATATATATATATATATATATATATATATAGCAGTGATAAAGCTCTTGACTGAAAAGTCATGGATTCAAATTCAGAAAGCATTCTCTTTGCATAATTGCAAAGGTAAGATTGAGGAGTGATTTTAACGGGGATTACCTCTATTTCACACTCGCTATTCGGTTTTAACAGGGATTGAGGAGTGGTTTATATATATATATATATATTCAATTACTCATTTTCTTTCCGTATAATTCGATTCTCCCGCTGTCAAGCGACCTGGTTTATCATCAATAAATTACCTTGTTTTATATGTCTCTGCATATGACTGTGCCAAGCTTCTTATCATCCCTGATAAAATATATGCGAACAGAAGAACCTGCGAAACATAATCTCTAACACATATATCATCACCACGATCATGAAGAAGTCACATAAATTAAGAAAGTTTCAATCTATGCCATTCGCTAAATCTGTTTACACTGCCTCATTAAATGGATCCTGTAACTATGTTACAAGAATGCAACTAGATGAGACTTAATAATCATCGACTTATAAATCCAGAAAGTGTAGATCTCTTTGCATCAGGGGAATAACGGTTCTGAGGTATCATCAGTGTAAAAACAAGGCATTCAATCACAAATTCTTGACTTGTAATAATACTCAAAATTCTCCAACTAGATATTTATCATAACTGATACAAGATAGACTTTCTAAGCTCAATTAACGCGTAATCATAAGTGTTAAACAATTTTTCCTTTGATTTCAACCCATTAGACAACAGGGATGATGATTATCAAGAACTTTACACTCCTACGTTTATATATTATCTGCGTTAAATCGTTGTTTTCGCTATGATATCCCAAGTTCACAACTACACAACCAACCAAAACGATTACAAGGACTCAACCGCTATTCGTAGTACATCTATTTCACTTAATCCAGCTCATAAATGGATTCAACCTCCTCTTCTGACAGTTTAAATTCATCAATCTCTTCAAAGTAGGCCTTCTGCTTTTCAATAAAATCTTGCAGCTGTGCATCCTTGGACGCGTCTTTTTCATGCAGCTTCTGAAAAGTCAGCAAATATGACCAAACACTTCAGCAAAATATCCATTACGACATAATCGAACCAAGCATTGAGAAATAAGAACCATATAAAATATATGGTTCATGCAATTTGCAAATCACTCTGATGAGTAAACACATCAAACTCAATCACGCCATAGAAATCTGCGGATTCATCTTAATCAGAGTAAACAATCTATGGGAAATGCTAATTGCATTATTTTAAACACAATTTCAGAAAAGATCAGGCGATTGTTGAGTAACTAAATCAACATGAACAGATTCAGAAGAACTGAAAGTTTTGCATGGAAACAAACCACAATAGTCAATTTAATTTGTCTACCTTTCTACAAGGAACCCTCAATGGCTTAATCTTTTGCAGATCCAAAACTTCAACTCCATCACTTTTCACCCTGTTTTGCATTAATAATAAACGTAGATGAAGAGCAAGTAATTACATGGTAGATTTTTTCAGGAAAAAAAACAAAAAACAAACACTACATGTTAAACAGAGGGATGATTACGCAATATTAGAGATCTTCGATATGGGTTTGCCACTGATAGGATTGGCCACGGCCTTCTTTTTATTCGAAGTATCTCTTCGGCTGTAGAATACTGAAATTAAAAACGATTCAATTAACGAAGAATCTAGAATTCAACAAAACAAATTTATAATCACACAGCACAGAGAGGACAAGGAGATCGCGAAATTAAAATCGGAAACAACCCCCTTAAGTACCGCGTTTAGTGAGAGGTTTGTTGAATGAGGAAGAAGAAGAAGAAGAAGATAGGGTGTTAGAATTGGTGCGATCAGAGAGAGGGTTTCGTCTTCGATCTGCAGCTTTGCCATTCTTCAATATTTCCATTGTTAATTGTGAGTGTAAGAAAGATACATGCCAGCCATGCCTCGTGTTTTATTCTCGTTTCTCGATGGCGGGAAATTCAGTTAGAAATGAAAAGTTTCGACTGTGTTGAGTCGAGTCGAGTCAATAACAAACAGGCACGGGCAGGCAGCGTGGGAACTAATAAGGGTTCATTGGATAAATACTTTGGACTAAAAAAAGAAAGATAAGCTAAAATTAAAAGTTGATACAAACTCATCAAAATAGTTACGAAGTTGACAAATAAATAAATAGAGGGAAATATAAGTATTATGATGTATAAATGAGATTTTTGTCCTTGTAACCCATTTTTTACTATAAACTTTTGGGAATATAATTATAACACTAAAGTTGTAATTTTTTTTACTGAAATAGAGGAGAAAAAAAAAATATGATTCCACAAAATACATAATTAAAAATGAGTTAAGGACAAAAAAAATAAAAAAAATATTTGTCCTTTTAAATGACATAATTTATGTCATTTTACTCTCACAAAGAGAAGAGATTTATACCTTTATTTTTTTCCCACTCTTTTCTCCATGATTTATTTATTTCTCTCACTTAATGTGACATAATTTTACATTGAGATATACTTTTTCTATATAATATACACGAGGGACTTAAAAGTAAGAAGTGATGTAAGGTAGAAAATGAAGTTAAAACCTGCAATAGTAATGTAATAACGCCCAATGTTGAAATTCCATGATTTTTTTTTCTCTGTGTTATCAAAATATAAGCTTTTTTTAATCGAATCTATGCGTATCAAAACTGAGAAAGTATGAAGAAAACCGCTTCCTTACCAAGAGCAGTTTAAAGACATAGTTTATTTATATAGATTTGAAATCCCCCAGTCTTCATTAGTTCCTTGTATATATTTGGACCCCAAAGATAGTACGAATTCCGAAAAGTTGATCGGCACATGAAACTGATGTAAGTTTAAGAAAACTATTTGCGGAATGATACTTTCTACTGTTCTCCAATGCTGCTTTTCGCGTAACACATATTGTATTATTGGTTTTGTCCACGACATCATTCACGATTCCCACTAGAGGAAATATTTATTTTCATTCTTCAATATTATGTGTTTAGATTTTAGCATTTCATTAATAAACACGTTAAATAAATTTCTTTTGACAAATTTTAATATTAAAATAACTATTCTAAAGGACTAATTTAGTTTAGTATTAAAAATTAACATTAATGGATTCTGCTAAAAAATTGAAGGATGTATCATTAAAAAGTTAAATTGATAATACTTGTATTTTTGGATATTTAAATTATATTTACTCTAGATATTATTAATGTAGAACTTCATTTCACCGGAATCTTTTTAATATATATAAAAGACTCTCACATTAGTTAGATAATATAATCATTAATATAAGAATATACTAAATGAGATGAGATAAAATATAATTAAAGGATAAAAATTATATACATATAAAATAATGTGTATCCTTCTAGGTTAGTCTATGACTTGATTCGTTTAGTTATTGGAAAAAATGTTTATCCTTTTAAATGACACAACTTATATCATTTCACTCTCACAAAGAGGTGAGACTCATACCTTTATATTTTTTTGTTCACTCTCTCTCATTCTTTATCTATCTCTTTCTCTCATTTAAAATGACACAACTTTATATTCTTTAAAATGATACACATTTTTTCCTTAGTTATTTATTTTGGTTCGAACTACAAGAGCTAAGAATTATTTTTATCTGATCCGCCCCACACTCCGAATTAGTTTTATAATTTGTGAGAATATTGAAAGACTCAACTCGTCTTAAAGAGATAATTAAGATTGATAACTAAAAAAAAGGATTATTTTCTTGCCACGTATCAAGATTCTCTACTTTTTTTGGTAATTAAGATTCTCTATTTAATTATTCCTTTGAATAGTTTATTATAAATGCCATGGAATTATGGGATGCGGTGCAGTCACACTTCCCAGTTAAAAATCCGTTGGCTCATTGTACTTGCCGCGTGAAAGTAAACAAAGCAAATCGATTGACCAGAGCAGACACACACACGCAACACAAAACCAGCGTAACTGAGCCTCTAGTTTAACTCTTCCAACGTTCCAGCCTCCAACAAAACAGTCACACACCCACTAAACCCATGGGCCAACCCAAACATTAAAAAAAAGCCACAAATTTCAACTTCAACCTCACCCACCCCATCTATAAATATTCACCCTTTCCCTCTCCTTCCACTTCACAACACTCATCAGCTTATTCATTACCAATTCCTCAAAGGTCCAAACACACTTCCAAAGAAAGACACAACATGGAGGCAGTTCAGTCATGGGTTTCACAGCACAAGCTCACTTCCATTGGTAAGTTACATTAAAAGAAAAGAAAAAAAAAAACCCCACAACCTTGTACACCAGAATATCATAATTTGGTAGTTGATGATCAATTTTAAACGAAATGGGTGTTGAATTTTAATACAGGAGCACTATGGGCATCTGGAATTGGAGCATCACTTGTGGCTTATTCACGAACAAAGTCTCCAATGAAGCCAAGTCTCAGGCTTATCCATGCTAGGTACTTTTCCCACAAATAATTTAACATTTTTTATTTTTTATTTTTCTTTGTTCCATAAATTGCTGACATGTGTTTTGAAATGAATGCCTTGGTTGGTTTGCAGGATGCATGCCCAGGCGCTAACTCTTGCAGTGCTGTCAGGTGCAGCTGCTTATCACTATTATGAAAATCGTGCTTTTCAGCCAAAACAACATAGTCCTGCTCCAAATGTTACCGAGCTAGTTGAATGGGAGCTCCACAGTCCTTTCTAAATTATAAATGAAGCTATAGGGCTTTTGTTCTTAAGAAAAAGCTGAGATTTTTCTATGATTCTATCATTAAGTTATTACTGCTTTTGCCTAGGAAGAATGTTTTTATTATCTTTATGTATGACCAGACTCCAGAGCTAGTGTTATGCATCTCTATGCTCTGATGATTTTCTAATGTATATACATGTTTTATGAGGAACAAGTATCAGCTTGAATAACATTATGCCATCTTAAAATACATGGGGGACAAAAAGAAGTGAAACATGTGCAAAAAGCTAGACCTCGTCTACTTTATATACAAATATTCCGCGTGAAAAAGTAGATTCACAACTTTTGTTGTATATTTTACTAGGAACAAATAGTAAAATAAATTTAGAATTCATAGTAACATTACTTTTTATGGTCAGCTTTTTTTTTTTTAATTATCTAATTAATTGGAACGCGACATAGATAGTGGAAATGTGAACTCAAGCCCAATAAGAAAAGAGATTGACAAGTGGAGTTCAAAAAGATTTTGTCACAACATAAACTTTACACAGTTCCAAACATGATAATTGGCCCAAAAACCTATTTCTCTGGGCCACACAATCTATTCTTCAAATATTTTGTAAAACTTATTATATCTCAAAACAAATCTTTGGGCCTCACGTGGTCATTATCGTCCAAACTATTTAGCATCGTATTCATTGATTTTAAATTCTCTTATCAAATATTCTAATAATCTTATTAAATAAATGAAGAAGGTATTGAGTTTTTTATTTTATATTTTTAAGATATTAAATTTATTTCTTTGTTCAAAATATTTTATTTTAAGTATTGTGAAAAAAAATAATTTTAAATCCTCTTCATAAATTTTTTCAATAACAAATCTAATTATTAAGTTAATAAAATCAGAATAATATTTCTGCAGTTACTGCAGATAAATTATCTGCATTTACTCCCAAAACGATGTCGTTTTGGGATTGAAAAATTAAATAATTATAATTATAAAGACTATAATAATCCTGAAATAAATTAAAATTATAAAAATACCATGATTTTCGCCTCCAAAACAACGTTGTATTAACTTATCTGGAGTAACTGCAGAAAAAGAGAACCCTAATAAAATATTAATAATAAATATTCTTAGGATTATAAACACTTACTTTTTGTTTATAATTTTTTATAGAGTATTAAGAGAATTATTAACAAATAATTTTAATTAAACTTACCAAAAACTTTATGAAAATTATCAAGAAGATAACTTAAGGAGGTTTATTGTAATCACCAAAAACTTCCTTTTAATATTTGTTTTAATACTCAATAAAAATAATAAATTAAAAGGTTAGGTTAATTTAATGAATTATGAATATAAAAAAAATCAATACCTTTTTATTCAACAATTAGGAATATTATTCAAAATATTGGTTGGATTAAATATTTCTTGTTTGATCATGTATATTTTGTTCAATGGCATACTTTTGTTAATTATTAGGGGTGTATTGGATTAGGATTTAAAAAAAAAAATGAAATAAAAAATCTTATAGATTTTTAAAAATTATTTAAAATTGGAGGGACTTTAAAGACTTTTTAAAAAGACTTTTTTTACAATCAATATTTCATAAGATTGAATTTTAATAGATTTTAATAGAATTTATAAGATTTGAAAGGACAATATGGATTTATAAGATTTTTAAAAACATAAGAATTTTTAACAAACATTCAAAATTATAAGAGTCAATAAAAAAAATAACAAAGAAATGCAATGATATTAATAAAAGAAAGTAAAACCTAATATAATTTTCTCAATCAATAAAATATAATATAATTTTTAACAAATATTCAAAATTACTAAGCAACAAACTCTCCATATGTCTAAAGCTATACTAGTCCTCCATGCATTAGCATTTTCTCATTCCTGCTCCTTGTTTTGACCAATGGATTGAAAATTATCTTTTTCATTTAGTATCGTATATGTGATTATAAGACCCAATTTTTTTTTATTTATTAAAATAATTCTAAATTTGCATATAGAACCTAAAGTTCATGATAAAGCTTCGTTTGAAATTTTTTGCAATTAATTTTGGAAATCTTGGGGTTTTTGTTTTACGTGATGAGTGTTTTCTAATCATATATCATAAGCATATTTTTATTGAGTACTCTAAGAAAATTATGAATCTGAATTTCTGGGTTTTATTACATAAAAGTTTAAAAAATTTCTCAAATTATTTTCAATCGATACATTGAAACCTTAAATTGCTTTGAGGCTTTTGAAAATTAAGTCTTTAGTTATCTATTGATAAAAAAATTGTTTGAAATTATTTTCTATAGCAAAGGAATTTCGTTCATGAATATATTGTTACGAAATATAGGGTTCATAATATTATGAAAGTTTTAATTTTTCTTTAAATTGATATTATTTCATTAATTTAAAATAAAAATTGGTTTAAGGGTTTTTGTTCCCCTGTTATTTTCCCATTGTTTTATGTTGTTTTTAATATAAAAATCATATTTTTTTGTGCTAAGAAAAATCGCAACCCATAGTATGAAAAATCATTTTTTAAACTTTCAAAAACTCTCAAAAATCTGCTGTTTTTTATATGGATTATATTAGATTCTTGTTGGTTTGTTGTTTTGGGTTATTTTGTGATGAAAATCGCTCAAAAATCTGCTTTTTTTGAGCTTTGACGAAGCTGGCGAAACCTGATTTTAAGCGGGTCAACTCGCCAAAGGAAGAAGAAGACACTGCAATAGATAAATCTCAAGAAATCTTAGGGGTTAAGGTGAGATAGTAACAGAGACATCATATTTATATTTCTCACTAAAAAGTCTCACGAAATCCACATCAATTGAAAATCCATTAAAATTGTTATATTTTTGAATACCACGAGATTGTTTTTCCTTTATTTAAAATCCTGGTTGAATATCAACGGATTTAGACGAACACTAAAATAATCTTTTAAAATTCTAATCGAATATCACGTGACTTTTTTTCAATCCTTTAAAATCTTAATTGAATACCAATGGATTTTTTTGTCTAAAAATAATCCATTAAAATCATTTGAAATCTCAATCAAATACACCATTGTAAGTTGTTGAGAAGAATAGGCATTCGTATGTTTTATCTAATTGTTTTAGTTTCACTTGATATATAAATCTTTTAAATTAAGCAAATAAGGTTTTCTTGTGGACAGTATTATTAAAATTTAATTTAATTTTTTTTTTTTGGTACATTGCCCTCGGGTACGGCCCGTTTGGGCTAGCCCCTCATTGTAACAGTGGGTGCACTAAGCTTCGCAACCGGAGAAAGGACGAGACTAATCCCCAAACCAAAATTTTTTTGGCTTATCCTCTGGCCCCCAAAGATTTTCTAAGAAACTGCTTGAGGCAGGGTTTGATCCCTGCACCAAACAATCCCTTGGGAGCTCAGCTGCCAACTGAGCTACCCTTTGGGGGTTATGTAATTTCTTTTTAAAAGAGAAGGAATAAATGTTTCTCATTATCCTACTTAAATTTTTTGTTTTTAAAAAAATAAATAAATAAATGTTTCGTTCATGTATCTTGGTCCGAAGGACTACCATGTGAGATACAAAATTAGCATGTTTTATGTCGGATCATTTTCTCTCTAAATTTATTCTACACAGCATACCTTTAAAATCTCTATGAGATACAGAAGATACATAAGACAATTTGGATTCACCAAAGTCCAAACCAATCTACAAGTACTTGGAAATGCCAATGCGGAAGAAGACCTCGACCCTCACAATTTGTACTTCAGTACTCACACACAAGAATTGACAACTCCAATATTAGACAGCTTGTTGAATGAGATTGATCAGAAATTGATGTGCAACTACTTAAAAGAATTAGGACAGAGCATGAAGCCAATAAGAATGCTGTTGTTGTACCAAATAATAATTAGTGAACATGATTGGCCAATTAATCATGCTACCAAATGTACATTGCAGCTTGGGCTATTAATTATCCAGGCTGGCCTTAAATACATTATGTTTATTTTTTATATTAAATTAATCTAATTGTAATAATTAATAATGGTTACAACTTTCCAGGAACTTCAAGAAGGAAATGTAAAATACAAAAGTTGTTAGAGGAATTGTTTTTGCTTTGCTCATTTTTGCTGTTGTGTGGTTGGAAAGTCTTCTTCTTCCTAACTGATTGATTCTTTTTGTTAAGTACTTTACTAAACACTACTCTAAAGAGATAGCCCACCAAACTAGCAACTTCCTAATTTTCCAGTTACCACCCTCTATGATGCCCTCACCTTCTCATTCTCAACACACTTACCCTCTATTCCTTTATTATAAAATAATCTAAAAAAAGAAAAGGATTGATTATCTCCATATTGTTATATGAGGTTACATCCTGCCTACTATTCTATTTCAATTTAAAAATATGCACGTTATGCATAAAGGATAATGATGTACCCTGCTAAACTAATAGAGCATGAAGCAGGAATGACTTATAATAGGGTCCAAGCAACTTAGAATAAAGGTATATGGCAATTGTTCTGTCCAGAAGACAAAAATGTCTAACTCAATGGGTTAATAAGTTTTTTTTGTTGGATCTAGATGCTTTCTTTAAAGTATTTATGAATTAGACGGTGTGTGCAGTGACAATAAGAGAGAGAATATCATACATGTAAGTTTTATCTCTTATTTATAGAATTTATATATGGATATTGAATTCTGGATCTTCTGTACCTCTTCTAGTGGCTCAAGCCCATACTAAATGCTGTCGTATTATGATTGATATCTTAGATGGATATCTTTCTTTAATTATATCAGATTCGTATTTAGATTGCCCCTTATTGAGCCTGGTTCTCATATATTATTCCAGCAACTATTTATGGGGTTTGCATTTGTCATTTAACATGACACAACAAACTTTCCTACACACACAACATTCTGTGGGGCTCACACTTTTTGAAGAAAAAAGAAAAAAAGAAAATTATGGCACGCAAAACGAATCTCTATAACATTACATAATCACTTTTCCTACAACATAACTCTTATAAAACTCACTTATTTATATATAACAACTTCGGAAGAAGCAAATATCTCCTTTTATCTTCCTCTTCATCTTTTTGTAAATTAAGAAAGCAGAGGAGGGAAACTAAGAGAAGCAGACATGGATTGTTGTGTTTGCACAACTATGCCATTAATATTAAGGCCTCCGAGGAATACAATATGCGGGGCTTGCTGTGAAGGAGCTAGGAGCATAATCAACATGATGAAAAATCTCGAAAGTGAGAAAGCAGAAGCAATCACCAATTCAAACGGTTCTCCAGTTTCACGACGAAATTCGAGTAAGGCAAGGAAAAATAAAATAAAATAATCAGCAGTAGTATATGTATCCTTTCTCTTTGACTCCCATAATTGAATAATAACTTTGTAAAATATAGTAACTGTATAATTTACAAATTTGATATCCGTAATTGGTAATTGCTTGTGCACATACCACAAAGGTGCTAGTTACTAATTTTTTGGTTGCCATTAACAATCTTGACATAGGCACACCAAAGGTGATTTACCCCAGCTTCTAATTTAGTTTGCTGTTCCACCTTATTATTAATGGCTGCTAATTGAAATTTTGATTAATTCTCTAAACAGAAGAGGTAATCAATGATATTATTTTTTCCTCTGCAGACAATTGACGATTGTGTAAGATGGTTTTCAGAGCAAATAGACATGTTTAATCAACAAAAAGAAGACTTGGCTTTCCTCAGAGGCTTTGTTGCTGCCTTCAAAGCACAGATTCACACTGATATACTTGTCAGTCCGGGTAGCCATGGTCCACCTATACCTGCACATAAGTCCGTTTTGGTGAGTTTTTTTTTTCTGTTTTCCTCACTAAATATTTCCCTAATTAAACTTTAAATTCATTCATAGTATGTTTGTTGCTAAGGAAACTTGTGAGTACGAAATTTTTTAGATATGTCAAATGTGTTCTGTTATTTTTTGGATAAAATTTTAGGAGGAGCGTTATATTGACAAATTTTATTTTTTTTTACAAACTTACAAACTACACTATGACTTACCAGTAAAACTTCATTCAAGAGTATCTTATCAATAAGACATAGTATAATTTGTAAAAGTTTTGTAAATTTAACCTTTTGCAAATTTTAGATGTATAATTCTAAGGAGGGAATGTTATTGTGTTATAGGCAGCAAGATCAGAAATTTTTAAGAACATGCTAGAGTGTGATGAATGCAAAGCTCCACCAAGTAACACCATAACTATACCCGATTTGAACCATGAAGAACTAGAGTCTCTTCTGGAGTTTCTCTACAGTGGTGCCTTGGCTGAGGAAAAATTGGAGAAACATGTTTATGCCTTGTCACAAGCAGCTGATAAGTATGTTATACCACACTTGCTGAAACACTGCGAACGACACATGCTTAGTTCACTAAGCACCTCTAATGCCCTTGAGACACTAGAGATTGCTGATACTTGTTCCAACTACAACTTGAAGGAGACAACATTGAATTTCTTAGTCAAAAACATTGAGCATATGGTGTCCTCCCCTAAATTTGAAGCTTTTGTGCATAGGAGTCCACATCTAACTGTGCAACTAGTTACAAGGGCATTCGCGAACGGTGCCAAATAATTAAACTGTCTCCAAGTAGAACAGTCACGAATATTTATTTATTTTACAATCTTGTCTTTGCCTAAGGTAATTTAATTATCAACACCAATAGAATGAGATTTTTCGAGCAGAATATAATACATTGTCTTATTGTTGTTTATTCTTATATATAAGAGTTCTTGAGTATTAGAATTCGTTTTCTATGTACTTAGCCCACACCGGCATAATTCTGATTTGTTCATTAATCTTTTGATTTATGCAACACTATAAAACCGTTTTTTGAGAGCCTTCTTTAACATGGCCTGACCCAATCTGTAGGAAGCGCGTGAAAGGCACGCAACGGATCCAGCCTTGAATAACATCTCAGCAACGTTTAGGGGGTGAAATAGATTAGGATTTTTAAAGGATTTTAATAAATTGTTTTTGAACAAAATAATCCATTGGTATTAACTAGGATTTTAAAGGATTGAAAAAGAGTCATGTGGTATTCGATTAAAATTTTAAAAGATTATTTTAGAGTACATCCAAATCCTTTGATATTCAATCACGATTTTAATCAAAGGAAAAACAATTTTGCGGTATTCAAAAATCCAAGCACATTAATGTATTTTCTATTGGTGTGAATTTCATGAGACTTTTTAGTGAGAAATATAATTAGGATGACTCTCTCACAATCTCACCCTAACACGTCGGATTTCTTGAGATTTCTTTATTACATTGTCTTCTTCTTCTTTTGGCGGGTTGACTCGCTCGAAACCGAGTTTCGCCATGGGAGCTTTTGAAATAGCATATCTTTTAGCAATTTTTGGGAGCTTTTGAAAGTTTAAAAAATGATTATTCAAGTTATGAGTCGCGATTTTTCTTGGCACAAAATATGTGATTTTTCTATTAAAAACAACATAAAACTGTGAGAAAATAACAGGGAAACTAAAACCCTCAAACAAAGTTTCATTTTACATCAATGAAACAATATCAATTTAAAAAAATGTTGAAACTTTCATAATATGAACCCTATATTTCGTAACAATACATTCATGTACAAAATTCCTTCGCTATAGAAAACGATTTCGAACAATTTTTGCGTCAATAGATAACTAAAAAATTATTTTTCAAAAGCCCCAAAGCAATTTAAGGTTTCAATGTATCAATTGAAAATAATTTAAGAGATTTTTTGAACTTTCATGAAATAAATTTTAAAAATTCATATTCGAAACTTTCTTAGAATACTCAATGAAAATATGCATATGATATATGGTTAGAAAACTCTTATCACGTAGAACAAAAATCTCAAGGTTTCCAAGATCAATTGCAAAAAATTCCAAACGATATTTTATCATGAACTTTAGGTTCTATATGCAAATTTAGAATTATTTTAATGAATAAAAAAATTGAATTTTATAATCATATATACATAGCTCTGATACTAAATGAAGAAGATAATGTTCAACCAATTGGTCAAACCCAAGAGCAGGAATGAAAAAATGCTAATACATGAAGACTAATATAACTTTAGATATGTGGAGAGTTGTTACTTAGAAAATTTGAATGTTAGTTAAAAATTATATTATGTTTTACTAATTGAGAAAATTGTATTAGGTTTTACTTTTTTTATTAATTTCATTGTATTTCTTTGTTATTTTTTATTGACTCTTATAATTTTGAATGTTTGTTAAAAATTTATATAGTTTTTTAAAATCTTATAAATCCATATTGTCCTTTTAAATCTTTTAAATTCTATTAAAAATCCTTTAAAATTCAATCTTATGAAATCTTGATTGTAAAAAGAGTCATTTAAAATATCTTAAAAGTCCCTCCAATTCTAAATAGTTTTTTAAAATCTATAAGGTTTTTTATCTCAAAAAAATCTTTTAAAATCCTAATTCAATATACCTCCTTAGCTTATATTTTATCTAAATTAATCTTTTTTTAAAGTTCATATTAAAAAAATAATTCTCTCAAATGATATTTTGAAAGTTAGTTTTATATAATTAATTTTTTTAGTTGGTATAAAATAGAATGACTTTAAATATTAATTACTTATAAGGACATTGACATTAATATAAGACTTTTTTTTGTGGAGTAATATAAGACACTTTTTGATAAAAGTAAATTGCATTTCTACTCCAATAATTGCAAACGTGAATTTAATCCGAAATTTTTTTTATATTTTTCCAACATAAATCTAAAGGACCCACCCGACAAACTCAGGCAAAGAAAAAAATATTCCATGTCCTTTCTTATTTCTGCCACTCTCTACTCTTTTCTTTCTCCTCTATTTCTCTCTAACTCTCTCTCATCCCGGCCCACATGATCGAGATCACTAAACAAAGACGGATCCAAGTGTTAGAGAAGGGGAGTAAGTGATCACCCTTAAAATTTGATGCAAAAATATAAAAATATTTTTCTTTTAAATTCAAATTTTTCTAATTTAATTTTGGGGTAGGATACTATAACAACTAAATTGTGTTACCACCAATATTACTACCAATTAATTTCACCAGTAAATCGATTATGTTGATCCAACGGTTATATTTATTTCTATCTTTGTATGGTTATGATTTCCCATATTTAATACTTCATATTTATTTTCACCTTTGTATGATTATGATTTCCCATATTTAATGATTTTACATTAAATATGGGGATCATAACCATACAAGATGAAAATAAATATAATCGTTAGATCAACATAATCGATCTATCGGTGAAATTGATTGGTAGTAACCCTAGTTGATTGTTACGATATCCTACCCCTTTAATTTTGCTCCTTCTATTTTATTTTCTCGTAAGTTTTTTTTTTCCTCCTCCACCTTCATTATCCAAACCTAACAGCAGAGAACTCGTTTGCATCTACATACTGACTCATCTCCTCTCAAACCTCAATCTGTGTTATTAGAAGTTGGAACATTTGTTTCTTTCTCCATCATCGGTCAAGTTGAGTCACAATCTGTCCATATCTAGATCTAAACTAGACCCAGTCAGCCGGCACCTGCTCGCAAGTCGCGTTCCAGACCAGACCTAGATCTATATGTACTTGAACAGTGCCCACCCTTCATTAATTTCCTAGATCCGCCACTGTCACTAAATGTTCACTCCAGGCAAAGACAACATTCACTCTTGTTGAAAAGGATTATAAGCATTAGGGAAATATAAAAAAATTATTGACTAACCTTCAGCTATAAGTTTAAGCTTTATAGATAAGATAATTGCTTATCATAGTATCAGAGTAACATATGACCACAAAATTGTGAGTCCATCTTTGCAATTTCATCTTCCATCTCACCACGTGTGCAGGACCACACTTGCGTCTAGTGACGGATTTAGAAAAAAAAAATTATATCTGCATACTTAGTGGTGGCTCCAAAAAAAAAATTTAAAAGAAATTTTTAAATGGATTAAAAAATAAAAGAATATAAACAAGAAGAGAAAAAAAATTAATCACATATATTAAACTTTGCTATTTTACATATAAATCTTATTTTGTAAATATTATTTCAAGTTATTAAAAAAAAATTAAATATTATTTCAAGCTATTCATATAACAAATTCTAAAATAATAGACATTGGCTATTATGTAGATCCGCCCGGTGCCTGCACCCACCAAACCAATAGCCCTCGAAGACGAGGCTGACTGATAATATTGCAGCCCAAATTTATAATCCAGCCACTGTTAATGAGCCCAATAATATCCCATCTAAGTATATGAATTCAATTGTAATTGACGTTTATTATACGGCTTGGGACAGATATTAAATAATAGTACAATCATTTTTTTATGTTGTTAGAGATTGCTTTCTTATTATGTTGTGAGACATCAAAATCTGTGTTATTTTTTTTTTAACAAGTGGTGGGACCTACCTTTTATTGTGTTTATAGCATGAGAGATGTTATCTCATGTAACATAAGAAAAGAAAAGCCCTACTAAAAGAGGGACGAAAGATTTTGCCACCAATGTCTCTCTCTATATATATATTTTGAGAAAAGCGTGTATCATTTTAAAGGATATAAAGTTGTGTCATTTTAAGAGAGAGTAAGAGATAAATAAAGGAAAAAAGAGAGTTGACAAAAAAAATAAAGGTATGGGTCCCACCACTCTGTAAGAATGAAAAAATATAAGTTGTGTCGTTTAAAAAGATAAACACTTTTTTCATATATTTTTTCCCCTACTTTCACTTTTTCTTCTTAATGAAACCCTAATTCTCCTACTACAGTACAAATATTGGCAACAATACGGGTCTGCCATTACAGCACAAAAATGTCATATTGATATGATCTCTGTACCCTGCAACGTACATTGCATGTGATCCGGCCCTCATCTCATTGCGGGTTTTTATATGGGAGAATTATTATATAAAATAGAGAATGAGTTTATTTACAAAAAACAATTTATTACTTGTTTGAGTGATTAATTTATTGTGAGTTATTTAATTATTAATTCTATTCATAAAATATTAATAGGCACAACCAGGTCATCTTTTAAAAATTCCGATTAATATTTAACATATATAAATGTATGATTAAATAAAACTGTATTTCTATCATAAGTTCATAACTTCAGAACTTTATACATAAATATTAATTTGAGTACTTATGATAAATTGTACCTAAGAAGAATTACTCGTACTACGTACTTTTACCAGTTGATCTGAAAATTAAGTTTTTGCAGGAAAGCATGTACACGATTTGAAATAAGAAACGCTAACATGATTATCCATCAAAAAGCGAAGGACTTACTAATTTTTCAAATCCCTCATCGTTCTAATAAACGTGCATGTATGCATGCAGATATTTGACATATGTTCGCTCCATATATAAATTTGGTCAACCATGATCTTGTTAATATGATGAAAAAATAATTGGCTCTATTATATGGACGATAATAGAAAATTGATTGGCTTGCTATGATTCACGAGTATGTCTATAATGGAAAAGTGATTGACTAGAGTAATGCATGTAATACTCCCTTGATCTGTAATAATTCTCAATACTGTCAAATTATTAAAAAGGGCCAATAAGAAATATTGTCCTGAGTGCTTGTGAGTGAGAAGTTTGAAAATTAAAGAAACAAAAAAAAAAAAAAAAAAAAACTCATGTGGCTCTTGGTTCAGCTATGTTGAGATA